TCGAGTTGTTCACGTTCCCAGTCAAAGAGCGCAACCAATACGAGCATGACCCTAATAGTAGTGTACTTGACAACTGGTGAGAAATCTCGTTATAATCAACACCTTCTTTCTGTGTGTAACCCTTCGTTACTAACCTAGCCTTAAATCTTAAGGGTTCTGTACTACTAGTACCTTCCTTAACCTTAAAGACCCACTTGCAATCAACGATTGATTTATTCTTAGGTCTCGATACTAACTCCCAAGTTTGATTCTTTTCTAGAGAACTCATCTCTTCTTTCATAGCTTTAAGCCACTCCTTAGATTGACCACTATTCATAGCCTCTTCAAAAGTTTTCGGCTCCCTATCAACTAGTTTTTCGTAACTAGCGTATGCAAAATCCAATTCAGATTCAAACCCGAACCTCCTAGGTTCTCTCGTTTGTCTTCTCTCTCTATCCCTAACTAAATTATAGTTAGCCAATGGATTTTCTTCCTCAGGATGCTCTTCTATCACTACTTCATTTTCCTCTTCAGGTTCTTGGACCTGAATCTCCACCTCACTCGAAGTACTAGGTACTCATGTGTTAAATTTTCCTAACTCCACCTTAAACCGATTTCTTTCTTCACCTGATTCAGTTTCACTTACAGGTTCGGTTTCGTTCCTTAGACAAGGCATCTCACTCTCATTAAATGTGACATCCCTACTCACGATGATCTTAACTCCTTTTTGGCTTCTATCCCATAACCTATAGCCCTTAACCCCTTCGGGATATCCTAGAAAGACACATTTCCTGGCTCCAGGTTCTAATTTTCCCTCACCTTGATGAGAGAAGGCAGCACAGCGAAAAGCTTTAAGCATTGAGTAGTCACCCAATTTTTCAGACCATTTCTCATGTGGAGTATCACCATTTAATGTAGCCATGGAGTCAAATTTATCAAATAACAGGCAGTTACAACAGCTTCACCCCAAAATGACTTAGGAACCCCAGAACTTAACATCATGCAGCGCACTTTATCTAGTATGGTCCTATTCATTCTTTCTGCTACCCCGTTTTGCTGGGGAGTATAGGGAACCATTTTGTGCCTTGTTATTCCACTTTCTTTACACATTCTATCAAATTCAGCATTACAGAATTCTAGGCCGTTATCTGTCCTTAAAAATTTGATCCTCTTGCTAGTTTGGTTTTCCATTTGTTTCTTCCAATTGTTAAAGTTATGGAAGGTTTTAGTTTTGTCTTTCAATAGATAGACCCACACTTTCTTGATGTAGTCATCTATGATAGATAGGAAATACCTATTCCCACCCGATGTGGGATTACTAGCAGGACCCCACAGATCAGAATGCACATATTCAAGCATGGTTTTAGCCTTATGCGTACTAGTGGAGAACGACACTCTATGGTGCTTTTCGAGTACACAGTGATCACAGAACGATAGGTCAGACACACAGTCATTACCAAATGCACCTTTTTCATTAAGTAGTTTAAGTCCCTTAATGCCTACGTGTGCAAGCCTACTATGCTACATATGTGTGTGATCAATTTTGGCGGAAGAAATAGAGGAGTTTAATCCTCTAATTACTTCCCCAGTAGTGATGTAAATATCGTTTTTCTTGATTCCCTTAATAGAGATTAACGCACCCTTCATCATTTTAAACATACCATTTCCAATTTTACCGGTGAAGTTGTCTTTCTCAAGTCTTCCTACTGAAATCAAATTCCTAGATAATTCAGGAATGTATCTAACTTCCTTTAACATGTACACAAAGTCTGTGTTAAATTTTATTTTTATATCTCCAATTTCAGCAATTGTATAGGCAAAGTTATCACATTGAACTACTTGCCTATCATTAGATTCTTGCAAGTTTTCAAACTAGTTCTTTTCAGACGTCACATGAAAAGACGCACCAGAATCTAATATCCATTCATGCATGTGAGAATTAGTAGTTAGATTCAATTCAGTAGTGTATGCGACTGGACTAGTGATCACATAGACTTCACCGTTTTCGGTATCGGAGGTAGAGGATAATACATTTACCTCATCTATTTCCTTTACCTTTTGTTTTCCCCTTTGTTTATGGTAGTCTTTTATAAAATGCCCTGTGCCTCTACAGCCATAGCATTTTCTAGCCTTAGTTCTAGACTTTGACCTAGGTCTACCATTGCCCTTCTTTTTTCAACTATTACTACTTGATTCGCCACTACTTTGGTATCCATCATGACTGGTTTGCCTAAATTGAGTTCTACCCCGCATCATATGCAACTCTCCACTCCTCCTATCCTATTTTTCAGCCCTCATTTCCATCTCTTTATTCTTAAGAGAATCTACGACAATTTCAGGTGTTAATGTGTCCCTACCATACTTAATGGCATTCTTAACTTCTTTATAAGAGTCCGGGATTGAATTGAGCAAGATTATAGCCTTATAGGTCTCAGACACGGCTTCGTCACAATTGACAATATCTTGCACCAATTTGTTAAATACATCTAAATTGTCGTCGAGATCCTTTGAAGGATCCATCTTAAAGCTGAAGAATCGTTCGAGTAGGTAGAGTTTATTCGGTGTAGATTTAAGCAAGTATAGGTCTTCTAGTCTTTTCCAAAGTTCTTTGGTGATTTTTAGTTTTCCCACTTTTCTTAAGACAGCGTCAGACAAGTGTAATATTATTGAGGTATAGGCAAGCTCATCGGCTTCCTCTTTTTGTTCTTTTGAGATGTCAAGTGCAAAATTACCTTCGATGGCTTTTGACACCTTTTGTTGGACTAATATGCCTCTCATCTTTTGTTGCCAGATAGAGAAGTCCCCTTTACCGTTAAATATTCCCAAATCAAAATTATGTATTGTCATTGGTTAGCACACTAATTAGACCACACGAAGTAGTATTGGGAAGCGTGATAAGGTAATATATTGTTAATTCTTAGCAAAAATAACAATGAACCTAAACGCTACGTCCACCAAGAAATACCAAGCACTTAAATCAAAAGAACAAGCACTCAATTAACGCAAGTAATCCTAATTCTAGCACAAGCAATGGTTACCCCTTCACGGTAACCCCAAAACCTAACGATCACCCGACACGATGATCTTGCTATTGCTGAATTTAAATGGATTAAGCCAATTTACCAGAGCGGACCTATCTGAGTCCGTAGAGTGGAGAAAAACGAGCTTGCTGTTCAATTGCAGTCAGCGTCGCACCAGGGGCAAAAATCGTCCAACTTTTTCTGTGTAACCTGAAACACAAAACAAAGTATATCAGCGTGTTCAGGAGATCGAAACAAGCAAGTTACCTAAAGATAGCTTCGTCGGAATGCCTCCCACGCGCCACCTCACCAGGGGCGCCTCGACCTGCTAGTAATGGGTATGGCCTCCGTTTGTCCAACCGAGCTTTGGTTTGTGAGTAATTGAAGAATTTCAGATTCGGGTAAAAGGATGAAATCGAGAAAATCAACCAATTTTGAGCCGATTTTTGCCAACCAAGCTCTGATACCAGATGTTAGGATCTTCCTCAAGCTGCTCAAAATGATTTCCGGGCTCAGTTAACCTTTAAAATACCGAATCAACACCAAAATTGAAGGTACCCGCCGTCGAACTCACGAGTTCTACCTATGGTTGCTTTTCTTCCTTCTGCTTGTTGTTTGCTCACTCACAAAGAATGAATACCACACAGGTAAGGGTCACAAAGACACAAGCAAGAGGTAGACAAGATCAAGGAGTAGAATACACGAAGAAGAAGAAGACACGGCCTCTCTCTCTCTCGGGCTCTTTCACAAAAAGGGGACCATGGAAGGCTACGAGAGTTACCAATATATATAGTAAACCAATGACAAACAATAAGGTAAGTTATACATATGGTAAGTGGGCTCGACTAGGGTTATGGTCCAATAGCACACCAACAAGCCACAAAGGTTTATTAGCCATCCAATAGGTAAAACAACGTTAAGTCGGGTCATCCCATTATTCGGTGTTGATTAATCATTCAGTCATTCATGTCGACTGATAAAACTGGTTTACATCATCGCCCGGGAGGTCGTTTGACAACATGATGTCTAACAGGTGCGATATTGGATAGGACACAAAAGTAAAGTGGACAAGATTTTACATTATTTTCTTCTTAATGATATCCAGTCCACTTCACCATACAAGTCATAAGAGGATTTTGCACCTGACCGTGTCACCATAGTCCATATTTCCTGAACAGAAGAGATGGGCTGCTTGTATGGTGCATGAATAACAATTATTATAGAACCAACAATACACATGACACAGTCTAATATCCCTGGCCAGTGTAGCCTCTCCTTCAACATAAAGTGAGCTAGTACCGCACTACAACATATCATTTAAAACATGAAAACTAATTCAAATGAAACATTTGGAAGGGAACTTTTAACATTACTAAAACAAAAAATGCAAACAATGTGTATGTTTGGGACACAGTACTAGATCAGACTCAAAGGTATTATAAATAAGATTTTAGCTTCTCTGTTTTCTTTATCCTTTGTTTAGTCCAAATTGTTTAAAATTCATTTTCTCTAAACTTATTTTCAACCATACATTCTTATAGTAAAATAATTTTTCATGTACATCCGTAATTTTTCCCTGCTTTTTAACCGCACATTCTCCGAAAAATCACTTCTTACAAAATCTATTTTCTCAAAAAAAATCTACATCAAATAGTCCTTTAATATTATCGTGTAGTATCCAATCCACCTTGCCAACAACCCATATAGTCAAAGTACCTGATAATGATGCTCAATGCACCAAGAGGAGAGACAAGCACTGCAGGAGCAAATGCATATGCCACAAAATTCGCAACTTTACCAATGATCACTGTATGAGAAACTGAAGAACAAACAAAATTACGAAGGCAATCAGCGAAACATAGAACATCAAAGTATCCATTGTGAATCAAATCTGACATCTTGTTTTGCAAGCACGCTAAACTAACACGTCACAACCAATCTGAAGAGTTCTGCATGTTTACAATAAAGAGTCTTCATATGATCTATAGGTGTTCTGAAATAGACATCAGATAATCGACTCGAAATTTATTCATTTCTAAGAGTTTATATCAAATTCATTCGCAGAATGCAATGTGTATATGTAAAAAGAACATTACACAGAATACAAAAATTGGATAAAGAATAGAAGAAGCAAATACTTGTGATCATGCCAAACCACCATAGAGGCTCCACGAGAAATGAATAACTCCTGACACCTATAAAATTCAAGAAAATCCAAGAAAACATATCCATCATACTCAAAAACAAGAGCCCAGATAGGAAAAATATCAATTTGACTCCACAATAAAATATAAAATAAAAATAAATCAACAACCAGCCTTGACACCAAAAGCAGCAACGGCTTTTTTTAGGCCTTTTTTCTTGATGATGAAGCTTGCACATATGATGTTGGAAAATAAGGGGTTGGAGAAGAAATAACAACAAAATTATAGAAACAAAATAAATAGAAATTACGAAATACGTCGAATTTGAGGCTTGAATACGGGATCGTTGTCCTCAAACTATATTTGCCCCCTCTCGGGATTGAATGAGATGGTTAAGGGTTTTGAAAAATGGTTTGTAGGATTATATCAAGCCTTGTAAAGGATTTGACACCAAAGCACAAGTGCAATCCTCCAAAACTTTAAGAACACAAAGGAAGATCTTGAATATGAATGTAAATCAATAGTTTGATTCAATATGGAATGATATATGGATCTCAAGATGTTTTCAATGATTCTAATAATGTTTGTATTGATCATTCATCGCCTATTTATAACCTCAATCAATGCATTACGAAATGGGGTCAAAACAAGATGAAAAGCGGCAACTTTTAATCCAAAACGGCTTCCAAGTTTCAAATTGAAAAATCAGCCAACGGCTATTTTTTTAACACTATGCATACGTATAGTAAAATCAAAATTTAATTCTAATTTTATCAAAACACATCTCTCCTACGCACAAAATTAAGCTTATGCGTACGCATAGGCAAAAATAAAATTTTGCATTTTTCAATTTCTTTTTATTCTATCAATTCCACAATTGAGCCCAACAATAAGTCCATTATCATTCCATTGATTTTGAACAAATTTTCAACATTCCCCCACTTGTTCAAAATCAATACGATCACATATTCAAAAAGACGACACTTATGCATAAGGATTAGATATCTTTTGATTTGAATCTAACCACAGTGTAATTCAAACAAAGTAAAGTCGGAATTAGAGGTAGCATAGAAGTTTTGAGCCAATTATTCCTTGTGACAATATCGGTAAGAACACACACATAAGTATCACGTGCTCTCAAGTTCCTCAACTCATTTAGCGCTTTTATTGCCTTGCGCTCATCTTATTCAATGAACTTTTAAGAGAGAAACTCTAACTCTTTATTGAGGCGGTACCACCTTGAAGTTCATTTCGGTGAAGTTCTTCCAGTATCTTTGTTACTTTTAGAAATACTTGTATTTTAACACTGAACTTTATTAAGAGTTTTAAGCTTAACCCTCACTCCAGTAACAACCACCATTATTTAATTAGAATAGGGTCATTGCGGATTTAAGTAATGCTGCAACTATCTACATATCGAATGACTTGTTGTTATCCTTTGAACCCGTGGATTACCTTTTGAATAATGACAGGTAGGGTTGTCATCATTGGTGGACATTTTTAATTAAGGAGTTTCAATCCCATCCTACTCGAAGTAGACGCCACTAAATCTCTATTTAGTGCTTTAGTTAAAGGATCTGCTAAATTCTCAATTGACCTTACACAATTTAGGGAAATTATTCCATCTTTGATTAATTTCCTTATATAGTCATGTCTTAGACTCATATGTTTAGACTTTCTATTATATACTTCATTGTATGCTTTTTCTAATGTGGCTTGACTATCACACATGATAGGTATTGAAGAAATATTCTTCGATCCCAAAGGTATTTCATAAAAGAGATCCTTAAGCCACTCAGCCTCTTTCCCAGTATCCGATAGTGCTACAAATTTAGATTCCATGGTCGAGTGTGTTATGCACGTTTGTTTCTTTGATTTTCAAGAAACAGCACCTCCTCCAAGAGTGAATACCCAACCCGAAGTGGATTTACTTTCACCCGTACTAGATATCCAACTAGTATCGATAAATCCTTCCAATATCGTCGGGAAGTTAGTATATTGTAGGCCCAAGTTCTTGGTTTTCTTTAAGTATCCAAGAACTCTCACAATAGCCTTCCAATGATCCTTACTCGGATTGCTAGTAAACCTACTAAGTTTACTTTTTGCATAAGTTATATCCGATCTTGTGCATCGAACAACACACATAAGACTCCCTATAGGACTTGCATATTCCAATTGAGCAATCTCCCTTCCATCATTCTTTATTAGTTTTGAACTTGGATCAATTGGGGTACTACATTCCTTTATGTTCAAATATTTGAACTTATTTATCATATTCTCAATATAATGTGATTGACTTAGATAGTAACCTTCACTAGTCTTTGTGACTTTGATACCTAAAATGATATCCACTTGTCCAAGATCCTTTATCTTGAATGTGGAAGAAAGAAACCTTTTTGTATCTTCTATTTCGTCCATGTGATTACTCATAATCAGCATGTCGTCAACATAAAAGCATATAAATGTCACATAATCATCACAAACTTTAGAATATAAACATTTATCAACGCTATTATGTTTAAACCCGAATGATATTATTGCTAAGTCAAACTTCTCATGCCATTTCTTTGTGTTTGCTTCAGACCATATAAAAATTTCACCAACTTGCACACTTTATGTTCATTTTCAGGGACCTCTTCATCGAGATCTCCGTTTAGGAATGCCGTCTTGACATCCATTTGATGAACATACAAGTCATAAATTGAAACCAAAGCGAATAATATCCTAATCGATATTATTCTAGCTACCGGTGCATAAGTATCAAAATAGTCGATTCCTTCCTTTTGTCGATATCATTTGGCTATTAATCTAGCCTTGAAGGTATCTAAAGATCCATCAACATTGTATTTTCTCCTAAATACCTATTTGCATCAATAAGCTTGAATCCCGGTGGTAAATCAACAAGTTCCCAAGTATTATTGGACATTATCGAATCCATTTCGTCCTTAATTGCATCTTTCCAAAAGGTGTTATCACGAGAAGCCATAACTTCTTTATAAGTCTTAGGGTCGGTTTTTACTTGTAGAACAAAAGGAATTGTTCTCACAACATTCAACTCATTTCCCTCTACAAGTGAAAGGAGATAAGTTGAGAATCGATTTCATCCGGTCCCAAATACTTCTCAACTCGAGTTCTCTTGCTTCTTCGTGGTTCACTAGATTCATCAATATCCTTAGACGATATTTCATCATGTGTTTCATTTGAGCTAGGGATATTTTCAAGATTTTCCCTCAATTCATTATCCGAAGATAATGAATCCTCAAATAACTCCACATCGTTGGATTCGATAATCACATTGGACTCCAAATTTAGTAATCTATAAGATTTGCTATTGTTTGCATATCCAACAAAGGCACATTTAACACCTCTTTGATCCAATTTAGTCCTATTAGGATTCGTGTTCTTGCAATAGGCAAGACACCCCCACACTTTGAAATATTCGATTTTCTTCATTTCCACAATTCATAAGAAGAAACCTTAGTATATTTTGAAGGAATCCCATTAAGTATACTACATGCACTTAATAAAGTTTCACCCCACAAGTTAAACGACAACTTAGCATGAATAAGCATGGCATTTATCATTTTTACAATTGTTCTATTTTTTCTTTCAACCAAGCCGTTTTGTTCGGGTGTTCTAGGTGCAGAATATTGATGAATAATTCCATGTTGTTCACAAAACAAATTAAAATCATTGGAAAAGTATTCACCACCTCTATCACTCCTTAAAATTTTAATTTTCTTTTTTAGATAATTTTCAACCTTATTCTTGTATGTCTTAAGCTTCACTTTTATATTTTATCAAATAAACATATGTATATCTAGAAAAGTCATCTATAAAAGTTATAAAATATTTATTTCCACCTCTAGTTAACATATCACATATATTTGTGTGAATTAATTCTAAAATACTAGAGGTTCTCTTAACACTTTGATATGATTTTTTAATCATTTTAGATTCTACACATATTTTGCATTTATGTTGATCATTTTCATCATATGAGATCAATTCATATTTTTTCATGCGTTTCATTGTATTTTTACCAACATGACCTAATCTAGCATGCCATAATCAAAATAAATTCACAACATAAGCAAAATTACTTTTATTCATTTCATTGTCAACAGTACATAATTTGACCATTCCTTCACACAAATAGCCTTTTCCAACAAATTTCCCATTAAGAGATAGTACAAGTTTGCCGGACTCATAAACACATTTGATGCCCGATTTTTTCAAGAGATTGCCACTACTAGGTTCCTATTCATATCCGGAACATGTAGTACATTAGTTAGAGTAACGATTTTCCCAGAAGTGAAGATAATGTCTACACTTCCTTTTCCAAACACCTTGGACCGCATCTCGTTACCCATTTGAATTTCTTGTTCTCCATCCACTTCTTGGTAAGTTTTGAACAAAGATTTATCATATGATATATGTACTGTAGCACAAGTATCATACCACCACCCGGTAACATTTCTTTTGATTGCGTTTACTTCACTTATGGTGGCCACAATTTTGTCATATTGGATGGAATTCACTTTGGCCTCGAAGTTATTTTGTTTTCGGTGCCTGCAATCCTTAGCATAGTGACCAGATTTTTCACACACAAAACAACCTCTTTTTGTCTTCTTCTTGGACTTGTTAAAGTTCCTAGAAGACTTCCTTTTGTTGGATTTTGCCGGTAGTTCTATTTTTTCCACAGCATTTGCTTTAGAAGAGCTCTCATGAGAATTTTCAGTTTTATCACGTATTCTTGACTCCTCTTCGATTCGAGATGCTTTTGCAATTGTTCCAAAAAATAATCTTCGAAATTATGTATGACCTTCTTCCGATATCCTTTCCAAGTTCCGGGAAGTTTGGCAATTATAGCCTCCACTTGAAAGGTCTTCGGTATATCAATTTTCACCGTCTTTAATTTGTTGACAATCACTTGCAACTCATGCACTGGGGAAAGAAGAGGGATATTTTCTAAGAATTTAAAATCAAAATACTTAGAAATCAAAAATTTCTGTGTACCTTCTTCTTCCACCCTGTACTTACTTTCCAATGCTTCCCAGATTTCTTTCCACCCTGTACTTACTTTCCAATGCTTCCCAGATTTCTTACGCCGAAGTTGTATTGGTGTATAGATCATACAAACAATCCGACAATGCATTCAAGATGTGGCCACGACAAATCAATTCATTTTCTTGGCATTTTTGTCCCTCGGTCTTGATTGCTTCGGATTCTCCATTCGCTGGTTCCGGCAAAAGGCGCCAAATCTGGATCAAGAATATAAAAAATCTTCAACGTCGTTAGAAAAAATTTCAACTTGTCTTGCCACCGCATGAAGTTAGTCCCATCAAAACGATCCAATCTAACCAGTTCTCGATTCATGAGTTTGATGGTTTTTATAGTTGTATCATTCTCCATCGCAAAATATAGTTTGAGATTGTTGAAAAATAAGGGGTTGGAGAAGAAACAACAACAAAATTATAGAAATCACGAAATACGTCAAGAACGAATTTGAGGCTTGAACACAGAATCGTTGTCCTGAAACTATATTTGCCCCCTCTTGGGATTGAATGGGATGCTTAAGGGTTTTGACAAACGGTTTGTAGGATTATATCAAGCCTTGTAAAGGATTCAACCCCAAAGTACAAGTGCAATCCTCCAAAACTTTAAGAACACAAAAGAAGATCTTGAATATGAATGTAAATCAATAGTTTGATTCAATATGAAAAGATATATAGATCTCAAGATATTTTCAATGATTATAATAATGTTTGTATTGATCATTCATCATCTATTTATAGGTCTCAATCAATGCATTACGAAATGGTACCAAAACAAGATAAAAAGTGGCAACTTTTAATTCAAAACGTCTCCCAAATTTCAAATTGAAAAATCAGTCAACGATTATTTTTTTAACACTATGCGTACGCATAGTATAAACCGTGCGTACGCATAGTAGAAGCAAAATTTAATTCTGATTTTACCAAAACACATCTCGCGTACGCACAAAATTAAGCCAGTGCGTATGCATAGGCCAAAATAAAATTTTGCATTTTTCAATTTCTTTTAATTCTACCAATTCCACAATTGAGCCCAACAATAAGATCATTATCATTCCATTGATTTTGAACAAATTTTCAACATATGAACCCGCATGAAATGACAGCCAATCCAATGCCTTTAAGATTGTCTTTGGAGAAACCCAATATTCAAATCTCTCGGTTGCTATTAACTTTTTCTTCTTCTTTTCTTCATCGAAATTGGGACTTTTTGCCGGTCATTCACGTCATGTACTCAACCAACGAATTTTTCGTTTATTAAAGCAGTATATATTCTGTTATTAATTTGAAAAACAATTACGAAACTGGATCCATTCTTGTAGTAGGAGTATTAACCTTGGTGTTCGTTTGACTTTGTTTTATATGGAAATTGTCAATTAAAGGAAAATATTTTTTTATAATTATTCTTAAAATTTGTTTCCATAAAAAAAAAAAAAAAAAAAAAAATTGCTACAGTAAACCAAAATTGGAATTCTCGAGAATTCCAATTCAAGGAAAAGTGGGAAAATTGCTTAGGTGACAAGAATCAAGGAAAATGAATTCCCTAGAATTTTTTACCTATCAAACACTCATTTTTGACAAAAGGTGGAAATGAATTTCCATTTTTCATGAAATTGGAGGTTATCAAACACTACCAAAATGTTTTTTACAACATAGCACCTGTTTGTTCGATTTATTTATTTATAGCACAACTCTTTACACAATGTGGCATGTCTTCGCCTAAAAAAATCAACGAAATATAAAAAATGACCATATGCAATGACATGCTCGAATTATCAAAGATAAATCCGCCTTTTCAAAAGGTAAATTAAAGGGTAATATTAAATCATAAATAAGAGCAAAATGTACATTGGGCAATGTTAAAGTAGGAGAGGGCGCGATCCGGTTCCCAAAGGAATCGAACCGAATATCAATGAGAATTTTAGAAATGGAACCATTGGTCCCATTGTTAGCTATGGAACCGAACCGGAACCGAACCAATCGGTTCCGGTTTGGTCCGATCCGATTCTTTACATAAAGATGTCAAAATAAAATGTTTGCTAATAAAAAATCTAAAAAAACTACTAATGTGATACTTTTAAAAAAATATAGAAGAACCGAACATATTATACCAAGATTAAAAGAAAACTAAATATTATGAGATGTCGAATTTGAAAAATGATTGCAATCATTTCATTCGTTTAAAGAAACTATAGTCATTTTCTCATGAAACGACTCTAGTCATTTTAAACGACTGGAGTCGTTTTTTTTGTTTTCAAGGAAAAGTGACTGCAGTCATTTAAAATGATCAGAGTTGTTTTTCATTCATCACTTATCATATGAAATAAACAAATATGAGAAAACTATCCAACATTCATATATCACAAATTTGACATGAATTACGACAAAAACTCACAACATAAAGTACCTTGTATACCGAAATCAATTTTTAAGTATACGACTTACAATTGATTTCGATAAGTTAAACTATTATGTAAAATGAAATAGCAAATTGAACTTCTAACCTTTTAGAATGTATTTGATTTCAACCTATTTCGTTCAAAATATATAGGAAGGTGAACTTTATCGTCATACTCCAATACACATTGTTCAAGTTTATCGCATTCGATTTTTATGCATATGACTTATATTTTGATTTCAATAAATTAAATCATCATGTATAATGAAAAGATGATATGTCATTTAAACTTCTAAACTTTCAAATTGTGTTAGATTTCAACTTAATTCATTTAAAGAGAAGTATAGGGAGATGAACATCATTTTATACAATTCATTGTGCTTCACTACACACAATTCAAGTATACCGTATTCGATTTTTGATTACATGACTTTCAATTGATTTTGAACAAGTAACTATCATTTATAATGAAAGAAAAGATGTCTTTCAAACTTCTAACATTTTAGTATATGCTTGATTTCATCATATTTCGTTTAAAAAAATATAGGAAGGGAAACTCATCATTGTACTCCATTACACATTGATCAAGTATATCATATCAATATATAAGCATACGACTTACAATTGGTTTCCATAAGTTCATGTATAATGAAAGACGGGAGGCTAATCAAAATATGTAACCTTTTAAACCATATTTGATTTCAATCCATTTCGTTTAAAAACGTCGTGGAAGATGAAGTTCGTTATATACAATTTATGGTGCTCCACTACACATTATTCAAGTATATCGTATTCGATTATAAGTACATGACTTACAATTAATTTTGAATAAGTTAAATTATTACGTATAATAAAATGTGAGATATCATTCAAACTGGAAAGTGATAAATGAAAAACGATTGCAGTCGTTTACAATGATTGAAGTGATTTCTCTTTTAAAAAAATGTTTTTTTTATTATATTTAAATGGATTTTTTGTTTGCCATGAGTTGGTCGCGACCATATAAATCACAACCAGGGGCTTTGCGGAATGAAAAACAACTGAAGTTGTTTTAAATGACTAGAGTCGTTTTGAGAAATAAACGACTATAGTCGTTTTTCGTCATTCACTTTTTCCTGAAAATGTTATAGGAAGGATATTATAATCATTTATGTAAAGGACATTTAAGACTTATCAATAATATAAAAAGGATAATTTAGACATTTTAATATAAAAAGGGCCTTGAAAACTTACTTGGAATAAATTAGGCCTCAAAAAGTTTTGAATGAATGCATCAAACCTTTTTTTAAAATACCTCATTACATATCCACCATGGAATGATGAATCACTTTATGACACATTAATATGATGATTTTTTATTATCTTATACAATAAATTATCAAACGTCATATTTATGTCATTTAGGAGAATTATAAATAATATTATTTTTGCAAAAAGTTCAAATGCATTATGTACGCGGAGAGTGACGTGTCTTTTTCCCCCATCTTGGATTTGGGTTTTTTTCCTTCCCCACAAGTTTCAGTAACAATTTTCTTCTAGCGTTTAGCTTCAACTCTTTCAAAAGTGTTGTTTACCGCCCAAAAAATTTGTTACCATATTAGGAAAGTGACTAAGAAAAAGCATAGGCGTTAATCGATTTTCATTTGAAACAATTGAAAAAATAGAAGATGGAAGCGAAGATTGGGAAATTCTTCGAATCAGTTGGTGATTTTTTCACCGGTGGTGATCAGATCCCTTGGTGCGATTCTGACATCGTCGCTGTAAGTACGTATATGTATGTATAGCTTGTGGAATTTTAGGGGTAATTGTGAATAAAGCTAGGTTTTTAAGTTCGGAAATTCTTGTATAGGCTGTGGGATTGTAGGGATTGTGAATAAAATTAGGGTTTAAGTTTGGAATTCTCTGGTTATTGTTTTATTCCCGTCATTAGCTCATTATATGAAGGAGTGTCGTGTTTTGAAAATTTAAGAAGTAAATAAATGGAAAATTTGGTTAGAAGAGAAGATGCATGCAATTAATTTGTGTTTGATTGCAATGTCTATCATTTGTAAGAAAAATAAAAATGTGAACAACAAATACTCCCTCCCTCCCAATTATATAGGTTTGTTTCATTTTTCACACAGATTAAGAAATCTTTCTTTAATGTCACTGGAAAATTAATTTTTGTCAAGATTTTTTCTAATTTACCCATATTTAATTTTTAGTATGTAGTAGTAAATTATTGTTGAAATTAGTAAAGAATTTAAATGATTTAATTTGAAGAAGAAGAAATGAGAGTTGTTCCATGTTTTCAAAAAGTGGGAAATGTGTATTTGAATGATTTCAAGAAGTTGGCATATTAAGTGATAAATATTGAATAAGGGTTTATTGGTAAAGAAACAAAACAAATATTCTAAATTAAAAAAAGATGTCTATATATTGGGACAACCGAAAAAGGAAACCCAACCTATATAATTGGGACGGAGGGAGTAGCAACGAACCGCGGTCATGAATAGGAGATATAATACCCAGTGACAGAATGTTCATTAACCTCTGTACTAGACCGGCCTATATAACAATAAATTCTTCAAAGATGAAAATCATTTTATACAATTCATTGTGCTTCACTACACACAATTCAAGTATACCGTATTCGATTTTTGATTACATGACTTTCAATTGATTTTGAACAAGTAACTATCATTTATAATGAAAGAAAAGATGTCTTTCAAACTTCTAACATTTTAGTAAATGCTTAATTTCATCATATTTCGTTTAAGAAAATATAGGAAGGGAAACTCATCATTGTACTCCATTACACATTGATCAAGTATATCATATCAATATATAAGCATACGACTTACAATTGGTTTCCATAAGTTCATCTATAATGAAAGACGGGAGGCTAATCAAAATATGTAACCTTTTAAACCATATTTGATTTCAATCCATTTCGTTAAAAAACGTAGTTGAAGATGAAGTTCGTTATATACAGTTTATGGTGCTCCACTACACATTATTCAAGTATATCGTATTCGATTATAAGTACATGACTTACAATTAATTTTGAATAAGTTAAATTATTACGTATAATAAAATGTGAGATATCATTCAAACTGGAAAGTGATAAATGAAAAACGATTGCAGTCGTTTACAATGATTGAAGTGATTTCTCTTTTAAAAAAATGTTTTTTTTATTATATTTAAATGGATTTTTTGTTTGCCATGAGTTGGTCGCGACCATATAAATCACAACCAGGGGCTTTGCGGAATGAAAAACAACTGAAGTTGTTTTAAATGACTAGAGTCGTTTTGAGAAATAAACGACTATAGTCGTTTTTCGTCATTCACTTTTTCCTGAAAATGTTATAGGAAGGATATTATAATCATTTATGTAAAGGACATTTAAGACTTATCAATAATATAAAAAGGATAATTTAGACATTTTAATATAAAAAGGGCCTTGAAAACTTACTTGGAATAAATTAGGCCTCAAAAAGTTTTGAATGAATGCATCAAACCTTTTTTTAAAATACCTCATTACATATCCACCATGGAATGATGAATCACTTTATGACACATTAATATGATGATTTTTTATTATCTTATACAATAAATTATCAAACGTCATATTTATGTCATTTAGGAGAATTATAAATAATATTATTTTTGCAAAAAGTTCAAATGCATTATGTACGCGGAGAGTGACGTGTCTTTTTCCCCCATCTTGGATTTGGGTTTTTTTCCTTCCCCACAAGTTTCAGTAACAATTTTCTTCTAGCGTTTAGCTTCAACTCTTTCAAAAGTGTTGTTTACCGCCCAAAAAATTTGTTACCATATTAGGAAAGTGACTAAGAAAAAGCATAGGCGTTAATCGATTTTCATTTGAAACAATTGAAAAAATAGAAGATGGAAGCGAAGATTGGGAAATTCTTCGAATCAGTTGGTGATTTTTTCACCGGTGGTGATCAGATCCCTTGGTGCGATTCTGACATCGTCGCTGTAAGTACGTATATGTATGTATAGCTTGTGGAATTTTAGGGGTAATTGTGAATAAAGCTAGGTTTTTAAGTTCGGAAATTCTTGTATAGCCTGTGGGATTGTAGGGATTGTGAATAAAATTAGGGTTTAAGTTTGGAATTCTCTGGTTATTGTTTTATTCCCGTCATTAGCTCATTATATGAAGGAGTGTTGTGTTTTGAAAATTTAAGAAGTAAATAAATGGAAAATTTGGTTAGAAGAGAAGATGCATGCAATTAATTTGTGTTTGATTGCAATGTCTATCATTTGTAAGAAAAATAAAAATGTGAACAACAAATACTCCCTCCCTCCCAATTATATAGGTTTGTTTCATTTTTCACACAGATTAAGAAATCTTTCTTTAATGTCACTGGAAAATTAATTTTTGTCAAGATTTTTTCTAATTTACCCATATTTAATTTTTAGTATGTAGTAGTAAATTATTGTTGAAATTAGTAAAGAATTTAAATGATTTAATTTGAAGAAGAAGAAATGAGAGTTGTTCCATGTTTTCAAAAAGTGGGAAATGTGTATTTGAATGATTTCAAGAAGTTGGCATATTAAGTGATAAATATTGAATAAGGGTTTATTGGTAAAGAAACAAAACAAATATTCTAAATTAAAAAAAGATGTCTATATATTGGGACAACCGAAAAAGGAAACCCAACCTATATAATTGGGACGGAGGGAGTAGCAACGAACCGCGGTCATGAATAGGAGATATAATACCCAGTGACAGAATGTTCATTAACCTCTGTACTAGACCGGCCTATATAACAATAAATTCTTCAATGTTTATGCATAGAAATTCAATAAACTAGTGATCGTAATCCGCAGAGATTAAATTATAGAAAGAATAGAATATTGAATTTAAGAGATGATTACCCTTCCACTTCTTTTGCATTTTCTCCTTATGATAGAAAAGATTGCCAGACTTTGTGAGTGCCTGCGTCTTATGGCTGATATGTGTGGAATTGAATTGCTATATGCATGCTACTTTTAATTCTTTTCCAGAGTATGCATTGATTGGAACTCCAACATTGAAAATAAATTTTGTTTATTTTGGCATGTTTCTGCATTATGCATCTTCAGGGTTGTGAACGCGAGGTTGCTGATGCTGAGAAAGGTTCCTCGGATGAACTTAAAAGTGAATGCATCATGCGATTGTCTTGGGCCCTCGTTCACTCAAAAAGGGCAGAGGATGTCCAACGTGGGATAGCGATGCTTGAAGGTGTAACCATTTTGCAAGGATCCCTTTGTGTGTGTGTGCGCGCTCGTGTGACTATGCGTGGTGCATGCTTTTTTGTGCGTGCCTTGTGAATGGTAAACTAGGTGATATTTTTCATGACTATACAAGTTGTTACTTGCAGCTTCCTTGGCTGGCAGTGGGAGCAGCCCACTGCAAGTGCGGGAAAAGCTCTATCTACTTGCTGTTGGATACTACAGAAGTGGAGATTATTCAAGAAGCAGGGAGCTTGTCGAGCGTTGTTTGGAGGTCTTATTAATGCTTTCTAAATATTCTGAAGGCTTAAAATCTCTATGAACTGCTCTAATTGTCAGAAAGGAAAATTGACCCTGTTTTTTGGTTTCATAGTAAAAAATTGCTTTCATCTGGTAAGTTTGCATGCTAAAGTTGGTATCAATTTGTAGGTAGCACCTGACTGGAGGCAAGCCTTGAGCCTAAAGAAAGCAATTGAAGATAAAATAAAAAAGGGTAACTTGAACTCCAAGTATTTGTCAATATTTATTTAATACCTCCCAAGTCCCAAGCATGTGTTTTTATGCAAAGTGCGCGTGCACACACATAGTGATTGAATGTTTGGTACCTGTTATTGGGCAAGATTGGACGCTAAACGATCAAGATTTTAGTTTTTTCTTCAATATTGTGCAGCATCATTCAGTACTGCATGCTATGTAGGTAGACTTAGGAATTGATTTGTCTCTGTGATTTCTTTGTTATGCAGATGGAGCAATTGGCATCGGCATTGCTGCGACTGTAGTTGGAGTTTTGGCTGGTGGCATTGCAGCAGCAGTGGCAACAGCTCGCAAGAAATAATCGACAACGTGCATTAGGTCTTGGTTGAAATTCGTGTTTGCTACTTATATTTGCAACTTTCGTCTTTGTAAGATTTAAAAGTAGTTATTGTTGAATATTTGTTTAAAATTAATGGAATGATAATAAACTAATTGATGGGCTCAATTGTGGAATTGGTAGAATAAAAAGAAACTGAAAAATGAAAAATTTGATTTTTTGTTTATGCGTACGCATAGGCTTATTTTTGAGCGTATGCGAGATATGTTTTGACAAAATCAGAATTAAATTTTGCTTCTACTATGCGTACGCACGGTTTATACTATGCGTACGCATAGTGTTAAAAAATAGTCGTTGGCTAATTTATCAATTTGAAACTTGAGAATTGTTTTGGATTAAAAATTGTCACTTTTCATCTTATTTTGGTACCATTTCGTGATGCATTAATTGAGATCTATAAATAGGTGATGAATGATCAATACAAACATCATTAGAATCATTGAAAACATCTTGAGATTCATATATCATTCCATATTGAATCAAACTATTGATTTACATTCATATTCAAGATCTTTCTTTATGTTCTTAAAGTTTTGGAGGATTTCACTTGTGCTTTGGTGTTAAATCCTTTACAAGGCTTGATATAATCTTACAAACTGTTTGCCAAAACCCTTTAGCATCTCATTCAATCTCGAGAGGGGGCAAATATAGTTTGAGGATAACGATCCCGTGTTCAAGCCTCAAATTCGTTCTTGACGTATTTTTTGATTTCTATTCATTTTGTTTCTATAATTTTTTTGTCGTTTCTTTTTCAATCCCTTATTTTCCAATAATCTCAAACTATAACCTGTGATGGAGAATGATACAATTATGACTACCATCAAACTCATGAATCAAGATCTGGTTAGATTGGTCGTTTTGACGGGACTAACTTCACGCGGTGGTAAGATAAGTTGAAATTTCTCCTAACGGCGTTAAAGATTTTTTATATTCTTGATCTAAATTTGGCGCCTTTGTCGGAACCAACGAATGGAGAATTCGAAGCAATCAAGACCGAGAGACAAAAACGTCAAGAAGTTGAATTGATTTGCCGTGGCCACATCTTGAATGCATTGTCGGATCGTTTGTATGATCTATACACCAATACAACTTCGGCGAAAGAAACCTGGGAAGCATTGGAAAGTAAATACAAGGCGGAAGAAGAAGATACAAAGAAATTTTGATTTTTAAGTATTTTGATTTTAAATTCTTAGAAAATATCCCTCTTCTTCCCCAAGTGTATGAGTTGCAAGTGATTGTCAACAAATTAAAGGCGGTAAAAATTGATATACCAGAGACCTTTCAAGTGGGTGTTATAATTGCCAAACTTCCCGGAACTTGGAAAGGATACCGAAAGAAGATCATGCATAGTTCTGAAGATTATTCTTTGGAACAATTGCAAAAGCATCTTCGAATCGAAGAGGAGTCGAGAATACGTGATAAAACTGAAAATTCTCATGAGGGCTCTTCTAAAGCAAATGTTGTGGAAAAATAGAACCGCCGGCAAAATCCAACAAAATGAAGCCTTCTAGGAACCTTAACAAATCCAAGAAGAAGACAAAAGGAGGTTGTTTTGTGTGTGAAAAATCTGATCACTATGTCAATGATTGTAGGCACCGAAAACAAAACAACTTCGAGGCCAAAGTGAATTCCATCCAAGATGACAAAATTCTGGCCACCATAAGTGAAGTAAACGCAATCAAAGGAAATGTTCGCGGGTGGTGGTATAATATTTGTGCTACAGTACATGTATCATATGATAAATCTTTATTCAAAACTTATCAAGAAGTGGATGGAGAACAAGATATTCAAATGGGTAACGAGATGCGGTCCAAGGTGTTTGGAAAAGGAAGTGTAGACATTATCTTCACTTTCGGGAAAATCGTTACTCTAACTAATGTACTACATGTTCTGGATATGAATAGGAACCTAGTTAGTAGCAATCTCTTGGGAAAATTGGGCATCAAATGTGTTTATGAGTCTGGCAAACTTGTACTATCCTTTAATGAGAAATTTGTTGGAAAAAGGCTATTCGTATGAAGGAATGGTCAAATTATGTACCGTTGACAATGAAATGAATAAAAGTAATTTCGTTAATGTTGTGAATTTATTTTCATTATGACATGCTAGATTAGGTCATGTTGATAGAAATACAATGAAACACATGAAAAAATATGACTTGATCTCATATGATGAAAATGATGAACATAAATGCAAAATGTGTAGAATCTAAAATGATTAAAAAATCATATCAAAGTGTTAAGAGAACCTCTAGTATTTTAGAATTAATTCATACTGATATATGTGAACTTAATGGTATGTTAACTAGATGTGGAAATAAATATTTTATAACTTTTATAGGTGAATTTTCTAGATATACTTATATTTATTTGATAAAACATAAAAGTGAAGCCTTAGACATGTTTAAGACATACAAGAATGAGGTTGAAAATTATCTAGGAAAGAAAATTAAAATTTTAATTTGTTTTGTGAACAACATGAAATTATTCATCAATGTTCTGCACCTAGGACACTCGAACAAAACGGCTTAGCTGAAAAAAAAATAGAACATTTGTAGAAATGATAAATGCCATGCTTATTCATGTTAGTTATCATTTAACTTGTGGGGTGAAACTTTATTAAATGCATGTAGAATACTTAATAGGATTCCTTCAAAATATACTAAGGTTTCTCCTTATGAATTGTGGAAAGGAAGAAAATCGAACATTGGATACTTCAAAGTGTGGGGGTGTCTTGCCTATTGCAAGAACATGAATCCTAATAGGATCAAATTGGGTCCAAGAGGCATTAAATGTGTCTTTGTTGGATATGCAAACAATAGCAAATCTTATAGATTACTAATTTGGAGTCCAATGTGATTATCGAATCCAACGATGTGGAGTTCTTTGAGGATTTGTTATCTTCAGATAATGAATTGAGGAAAAATCTTGAAAATATCCCTAGTTCAAGTGGAACACATGATGAAATATCTTCTAAGGATGTTGATGAATCTAGTGAACCACGAAGAAATAAGAGAACTCGAGTTGAGAAGTCTTTGGGATCGAATGAAATCGATTCTCAACTTATCTCCTTTTACTTAGTAGAGAGAAATGAGTTGAATGTTGTGAGAACAATTCCTTTTATTCTACAAGTAGAAACTGACCCTAAGACTTATAAAGAAGCTATGGCTTCTCGTGATAGCACCTTTTGGAAAGATACAATTAAGGACGAAATGAATTCGATAATGTCCAATAATACTTGGGAACTTGTTGATTTATCACTGGGATCCAAGCCTATTGGATGCAAATGGGTATTTAGGAGAAAATACAATGTTGATGGATCCTTAAATACCTTCAAGGCTAGATTAGTAGTCAAAGGATATCGAGAAAAGGAAGGAATCGACTATTTTGATACTTATGCACCAGTAGCTAGAATAACATCGATTAGGATATTATTCGCTTTGGCTTCAATATATGACTTGCATGTTCATCAAATGAATGTCAAGACGGCATTCCTAAACGGAGATCTCGATGAGGAGGTCTATATGGAACAACTCGAAGGGTTTGCCCTACCTGAAAATGAACATAAAGTGTGTAAGTTGGTGAAATCTTTATATGTTCTGAAGTAAGCACCAAAGAAATGGCATAAGAAGCTTGACTTAGCAATAATATCATTTGGGTTTAAACATAATAGTATTGATAAATATTTATATTTTAAAGTTTGTAATGATTATGTGACATTTATATGTTTGTATGTTGACGACATGCTGATTATGAGTAATCACATGGACGGAATAGAAGAAATAAAAATGTTTCTTTCTTCCACATTCAAGATGAATGATCTTGAACAAGTGGATACCATTTTAGGTATCAAAGTCACAAAGACTAGTGGGGATTACTATTTAAGTCAATCACATTATATTGAGAATGTGATAAATAAGTTCAAACATTTGAACATAAAGAAATGTAGTACCCCCGATTGATCCAAGTTCAAAACTAATAAAGAATGATGGAAGGGCGATTGCTCAATTGGAATATGCAAGTGCTATGGATATCTAGCACAGGTGAAAGTAAATCCACTTCGGGTTGGGTATTCACTCTTGGAGGAGGTGTTGTTTCTTGGAAATAAAAAAAAACAAACATATATAACTCACTCTACCATGAAATCTGAATTATAGCTTTATCGGATACCGGAAAAGAGGTTGAGTGGCTTAAAGATCTCTTATATGAGATACCTTTGGGATCGAAGAATATCTCTTCAATACATATCATGTGTGATAGTCAAGCCACGTTAGCAAAGGCATATAACAAGGTATACAATGGAAAGTCTAGACATACGAGTCTGAGACATGACTACATAAGGAAATTAATCAAAGATGGAATAATTTTCCTAAATTATGTAAGATCAATTGAGAATTTAACGGATCCTTTAACTAAAACACTAAATAGAGATTTAGTGGCGTCTACTTCGAGTAGGATGATGTTGAAACTCCTTAATTAAAAAGGTCCACAAATGACGGCAACCCTACCTGTCATTACTCAAAAGGTAATCCACGGGTTCAAAGGGTAATAACAAGACATTCAATATGTGGATAGTTGCAGCATTATTTAAATCCGCAATGACCCTATCCTAATTAAATAATGCTGGTTGTTACTGAAGTGAGGGTTGAGCTTAAAGCTTTTAATGAAGTTCAGTGCTAAAATACAAGTACCTCTAAAAGTAACAAAGGTACTGGAAGAACTTCACCTAGACTAACTTCGAGGTGGTGCCGCCTCAATAGAGAGTTGTAGTTCCTCTCTTAAAAGTTTGTCGAATAGGATGAGCGCAAGGCCATAAAAGCGCTAAGCGAGTTGAGGAATTTGAGAACACGTGATACTTATATGTATGTTCTTACCGGTATTGTCACAAGGAATAATTGGTTCAAAGCTTCCATCTTACCTCTAATTCCGACTTTACTTTGTTTGAATTACACTATGGTTAGATTCAAATCAAAAGATATCTAATCTTTTTGCATAAGTATTGTCTTTTTGAATATGTGATCGTATTGATTTTGAACAAGTGGGGGATTGTTGAATATTTGTTCAAAATTAATAGAATGATAATGAACTAATTGGTGGATTCAATTGTGGAATTGGTAGAATAAAAAGAAATTGAAAAATGAAAATTTTGATTTTTTGCCTATGCGTACGCATATGCTTATTTTTGAGCGTACACGAGATGTGTTTTGGCAAAATCAGAATTAAATTTTGCTTCTACTATGCGTACGCAGAGTGTTAAAAAATAGTCGTTGACTGATTTTTCAATTTGAAATTTGGGAGTCGTTTTGGATTAAAAGTTGTCAATTTTCATCTTGTTTTGGCACCATTTCGTGATGCATTGATTGAGACCTATAAATAGGCGATGAATGATCAATACAAACATCATTAGAATCATTGAAAACATCTTGAGATCTATATATTATTCCATATTGAATCAAACTATTGATTTACATTCTTATTCAAGATCTTCCTTTGTGCTTTTAAAGTTTTGGAAGATTGCACTTGTGCTTTGGTGTTAAATCCTTTACAAGACTTGATATAATCCTACAAACCGTTTGCCAAAACCCTTTAGCATCTCATTCAATCCCAAGAGGGGACAAATATAGTTTGAGGACAACGATCCCGTGTTCAAGCCTCAAATTCGATCTTGACGTATTTCCTGATTTCTATTCATTTTGTTTCTATAATTTTGTTGTTGTTTCTTCTCCAACCCCTTATTTTCCAACAGTTATAATCAAGGTACTTATGGACCATCGTTTGATAAATTTTCTCACAAGAATAGACAAAAGTGTGCGCATAAACAGCATCTTCTTTTATTACTTGTTTTTATTCTTTTTCTACCGTTTTTGGTTAAATTACTTGTTATTGTTGTATTTTACTATCGAGCACTTGGCATTATAGGGGCGGATGCAGAAATTTTTAGTTAGAACACACAATCAACTCTGTACAAATCGAATACTTTGTTCTTGATTTTTGAATGATTTATACTTAATCTGAGAAAATACAGATTTACATTTAAAAAGTATTTCTTCATTAATATTTCCATCATCATTTTCATCCATTTGATTTCGGACAGTCATTTTATTAATATTTTGTTCATAATAAGAAAATGCATATTTATGTTTAAAAAAATTATTGTGCATTTAATATAAACAATCAATTTAAGTGATCGAAAAGAAAAACATATAATCAATATTCAATCAAATAAATACAATTCGTTAAATATAAATTAAAATAAATATAATCAGTTCAAACACATTTTATGTATACAAATAGGATTAAAAAAAATGCAAATTTAGGTTCTAATTAATTGAAAATTTGTAGAAAAATAATACACAAATTTTAAAAAATTAGAAGGGTTAAGATTTTTATAAAACCTGTGAGGAAGAATGTAAGATAAAGTAAGAGAAAATAGAAAAAATTCAAATTTATTGTAATTTTACTTCTATTTGGTGAAGAGTTAAAATAAGATTTTTAGTATATTTTGATAAAAAATTAAAAAGTTTAAGATTCCATGAAATATGTTATTAAAATCAATTGTTAACTTTGATTTAAATAGTCAAAATTTAGATTTCAATTGATACAAAACAAAACTTATACCCCCACGAAAAAATAAATAAATAAATAAATGAAAAATAAATAACTCAAATGTTGGGGGTCACATGACCACCTTGGGTCCGCCAGTGCTTGGCAAACTCAACCCAAACCGAGATTTTGGATTACATGTGCAACAAGCAGTAACTATCATTAACGTTTTGTATTGTGAAGGTAAGAGATTTGCATAGTCTATCAACCAATGACTTCTCTACTTTCTCCTAACTTGGGTTCAGGATAATTTACATCTAGAGACGTGGTTAACCTGAAAATGTGACATAATTGTAAAGGTGAGAGTTTTGCCTCGTCTAATTAACCTATGACTTCTCTACTTCCTCTGAAATTGGATTCAGGATAATTTACGTCTGGTTTAAAGATGATAGATAACTGAATGATGAATGGCAAATTGGTACGATACATCATTAACTTGGAAATGTGACATAATCATCGTCTATCAACCTATGACTTCTCTACTTCCTCTGAACTTGGATGCAGGATAATTTACGTTTGCTTTAACGAGGGTAGGTAACTGAACAATGAATGGCAGATTAGTACGATACATGGTTAACTGAAAAATGTGATATAATCGTAAAGATGAGAGTTTTGCATCATTCATCAACCTATGACTTCCCTACTTTCTTCGAACTCGGGTTCAGAATAATTTACGTCTGATTTGAAGATAGTAGGCAATTGAACTATGAATGCAAGACTAGTACAATATGTAATTAACCTGAAAATGTGACATAATTGAAAAGGTGAGAGTTTTGCATCGTCTATCAACCTATGACTTCCCTACTTTCTCCGAACTTAGGTTCAGGATAATTTACATTTGGGTTAAAGATGTTAGATAACTGAACGATAAATGATGAAATAGTATGATACGATACGTGCTTAGCCTGAAAATGTGACAATCATAAAGGTGAGAGTTTTGCACTGTCTATCAACCCGTGACTTCTCTACTTTCTCCGAACTTGGGCTCGAGATAATTTATGACTGGTTTAACGAAGGTAGGTAATTGAACAATGAATGGCAGATTAATACGTTGTTAACCTGAAAATGTGACACAATCCTAGTTTGACACATCCACAACTCTACCAAGAGGCTTGGATTTTGGAGTTATTAGCAATTTTGTTTTGAGCAGCAGGACAAAAACAGAAGAACTAGACACAGACGCACATACAAGGAGCGCGAGTCTATAGACATTCTATGTGAACGAAGTAAAAATGGAAAGAAATAGCAATAGAAACTGAAGTTGCATTTGCATAAGGAATTTTTACATGGCAGCTGCTCATAAGAGCTTGCAGCCTACTAAGAATTTACATTTCTCACCCAAACCTCCACGAGAGGTTCTTCGAGTTTTTTAAAAAAAAAACAAAAACAAAAAAAGCACTTCCATATGAATCTCTTGATGCTGAATAAATAATCAATAGAAAAAGCATCCCCAATAAGTGCAGTCCACCCTTAAAGAATGAGCCATAAAATGCTTCCATAAAAATACGTTTTGAGATGCACTTCTCTCAAACTATAGAAGATAAACTGGTCTCATCCTAATGCTGTTTAGGAAACAATGGATATAATTTATTCCATAGTTCATGCTAACAACTCCACAACTCATCATTTATAAAATAGCTAAATGGATGACTGAAGGCGTTCTTACTTGTGCAGTAAGAGACTTTATCACTTCTTTGGCTGCTTTGCATTTGGCAGTCTCTTCCCCCGCAATTGTTATCGCCTCCTTCAACTGTTTAGTAGTTTTTTCTAGCTCTAACTCTTGAAGTTGAGCCTTCCGAGTAAGATTCTCCACCTAAGACAAAGAGTGGTAAGACATGAAATGCAAGTTCATAACCTCAACACCGTCTCAAATCTTCAATGGGTCACAACAGGTATGTATCCAATAACAATGGATAAAGCATATGTGCTCATCTGAAATCGACTTACAAAGCCTTATCCAGAATACTGCAAAGTTCCAGCTTTGGAAATAAAAAATGATAAAAGCCTAACAAATGCCACATCTTCCCCCCACTGTGAACAAAGAAGAGGGAAAGCAAAGGCAGCAAGAACACTTATACTGTGACATGTCATTTTCTTGACTAACAATTCTAAAACATCAATTATACGATTTTCTGACAGAACAAAAGTGCTTTTATCATTCAGAGCTGGTACAAAACCATTAAAATGAAATCGTTTGTCTGCATGACTATTGAAGTAATTGTAGCACCCTCTTGAGCTTTGGAAACAAATAGACTAAATACACGTGGAATGTGATCCGAACTGTTAATCTTAAATCCTCCACCCCGAATGCCACTCAGCAAACAGGAAAGAGATTTTAAGCATGAAATACAATAGAATATATTATGGGGGTGTTTGATTCTCATTTTTCCTAAAATACATTTTTTTTCTATCTTCTTTTCAATGAAATACAATAGAATATATTAAGGGGGTGTTTGATTCCCATTTTTCCTAAAATACATTTTTCTCTATCTTCTTTTCAACCACATATTCTTTATTAAAATAATATTACACGCAAATAAAAAGCTTTTCCTTCTTTTTTAACCACACATTCTCCATCAATCTATTATTCCAAAATACATTCTTCAAAAAGAATGTGGCTCAAACACACGCTATATTTTTATAATGCATCGTAAGATACATTACTCAAAAAGGCAATTAAATAGAAATATTTTGGACAAGTTATGGAAGCTTAATCCATATCTATATCTATCATTTGTGTTCATATTATAAAGCAGAAGCTCTCTTCACATCACCATTTTCTTAAAATAACCAAAGATGACACGACAGTTGCTTATGATGTAGCCGCTGATTATTTGAAAACTATCATCCCCATTTCAAATCATATCAATATCAATAATTCCCCTAACCAATTCATTGTTAAACTTTCACATAGAAAATAAAAAATAAATAAATATAATTTGGTAGAACAAAACAGAAAAACAAGAAAACTGCAGCATGAGCAAATGACAAGCAACTCAGACACGATCATGTACCTGTGCTCTTAATTTATTAACTTCCTTGCTAAGGCTATTGTTTGTCGTTTTCTCATTATCCAACACAAATTTTGGGGATGCAAGTCCTCCCAAAGTAGGGGTTGGTGTAGTAGAACGAGGGGGACTGGACCGTCTTGATATTGGTGATGTTGCACGAGAAACAATCCTTGATCCAGGAACTGAAGCTGAGAAAAATTTCTTGGATGATCCAAATACAGGATTGAAAGATTTGGAGATGCTAAGAGGCCCCCATTGGGAACTTCCATTAGGAATGGGTGATACACGACTGCCGTTGAGTTCTATTTTTTTGCCTCTCTTTGAAGATTGACTCTCTCCTTGTTTCAAGGATTCCATTGAAGAGAACCTAGCTAGATGGGGACGCAATCTGCCATCCAACTTATTAGTTTTCTCTATAAGATTGTTTGGCCCCTGATTCATACTACCTCTTCTGCTCACAGATGTTTCAGATGATGCATCTGTTTCAATAGCTTTCTTCAATTTATTGAAACAACTATCACATACACGGTATGGTTTCTTGGGGTTTGGTGCCATAGAAGCCCTCAGTGACTTCTTGCTGCTGCATGAATGACAAAAGACAAGTCCACAGTTATAACAATTGTGACGTTTTCTTTTGAAGTTAAAAGGTAGGCGGCAGCCAGAACACATGGAATGATCAACCCCTGAGACCCACTTGTGAAGGCAGATAGCCACAGTAAAATGAGTACCACAAGCTATACTTTTCACTTGCTTCTCTTTTAAAGCTTCCACTATAGTTGGAAAACTTCTGTCATCTGTATCTCCATGACCCAATCTACCATTTGCTCCTTTACCCCAAGTATAAACTTCAGTTCTTGACGTCAACACTGCCACATGATATGCACCACAAGCTATTTCATCCACAAAGCTCTTCGCAAGTTTTCCTTCAACACGAGATGGGAGCTTTCCATCACTTTGTGGGTTTCCTAGTTGCCCATAAACAGGACTGCCCATTGTGTACACATGGCCAGAAGTTGTAAGAGCAACAGTCAGGTTGTGCCCACAAGCAACCTGACAGAAGTTTGACTCCACAAGAGCAGCAACACACGTTGGAACAAGTTTTGATTCCTTATTACCATGTCCAAGTCGTCCTTTGTCACCGTCTCCCCACGCAAAAAGTTTGCCTGAAGAACAATTGCTGGAACTTGAATTTCCAACCATAACTTCAACAACTGCAGCAGTATGCCAAACACCACAAGCTGCTCGTACTGTCCGGAGACCCTTCAGGGATTCCACTTCTCTAGGCACTGAAACACTTTCTCGATCTCCATGACCGAGAACCCCAAACGTTCCATCACCAAAAGTAAACAACTGCCCTGAAGACGTCACAACAGCAGTATGCCAGGGCCCACATGAAATGGAAGAAACGTGTATTCCCTCCAGTGGCCCATTTACTCTTTTTGGCACCCAATGACTCACTTCATTCCCATGCCCTAGAAGACCAAAATGACCATTACCCCATGAGTACAAATCACCAGAGAGTGTGACGGCACAAGTATGATATTCACCACACGCAACAAGCTCGATATTTGTACTACTGAGGGCATCAATGAGCTTTGGATGCAATACATCAGAATCCACACCATGCCCAAGCCTACCTCCTGATTCCTCACCCCAAGAGAAAATCTCCCCTTGCTTGGTCACTAAGGCAGCATGTCGTCCTCCACAAGCAATATTCTGAACATCTAGTACAACTGCAGACTCCATTGACTTGGGCAAAAAAGAATCCATTTTCACACTACCACAACTACCAATTGTATGGGGTCCACCACCCATAACACCATCTCCTGTGCCTTCTCCCCAAATGAAGACATCACCTAAAGCATCACCATCATCATGACCAGAACCTTGACTTGATGAGCTTACAGCACTTGAAAGGCTCACTCTAAAAGCATCCACTCCCATTCCTTTTGTGTGACCATGTATGCCATCTGAGCCTCCAGATGATATGGAATGAACAGAAACACTAGCAGAATCTGATGGAAAGAAACCCTTGGGAGGCACAGGATACAATAGCCTATCTGTAAATGGCTTATCCAGACCATTTTTGGGAGGGCTTTCATATGGACTATGGAGGCGAAGTTCATCAGCACCATCCTGATCAAGTAATATACGGTTTGTTTCAACATTTTTAAGAACATAAATGTGCTTTGTAGATGCGCATATAGGAAAGAGTAAAACTAAAATTATTCACCTTCTGCAATATATCACCACTTCCAAATGGAGAACTCAATGGAGAACTTCTCCTCGTGTATGTTCTGGGACTATTGGCTCCAGATGAAATTCCATCACTCCTTGATTCTGTTCTCCATTTACGCTGATGACAACGTGAAATTAATGCCTTCAGCCCACTAAACCATACCTCTGTTTCTTCCTTATCCTTGCATATCTACCAAAAATTAAAAAAATCCAACTTAGGGATAAGAATGCTGTGACAAAACAACAGCATAAACTACTTTCTACAATCTTCTGGGAAATATAAAAAGACAATAATAAATGGTACTCTCACCAAGTCAAGAGATCTGTCATTGTATATAAGAGAAAAGGACTGGTATTCCTTCTCAGGCCGCGGATACCTTTGAAAAATTGGCTGCAAACATAATATTATCAAAACCACAGATATTCAGAACATAAAAGAATCAAAAACTTGATGGGAAATATACAAGAGAATTAAAATGTTTGCTTGTATCGATATTCAAAGCAAAGAAGAAAAATATCCTGGACAGGCTTCTGTTCACATTGAAGAGATTTCTAATTTGGGAACCCCTTCAACAGTCGAGCATAAATTATTTATGCATCTATAGTTTTTTTTCCTCCACATTTATACACATTATTCACATTTTCACACTACTGCCCTTTTCTGCCAAGTGATGTTGAACCTTGAGAAGATGCTGTTCTAGTAGCTTTGAATCTAACAAGCACAATGTCAAAGTAAGGGAAAAATCCACTATGGAATTAACAAAATGTAGATATTTTCATGCATCTGAAGTTTGTCACAGCAAGAAAATGTGGAAAGAGAAAACACCAAAAATTACCTTGAAAAGCCAATTGATTTTGAGTTCGGATAAGAAAGGAGTTGTGAGTTGTGACATGGAAAGCATCTTTAATGGCCATCATTTGGATAATACGGATGGGAAGAAATTGCAGAATATTTGAAGAATATGTACACGTCTATTGAGTTAAGGTAGAAGGCAACACACCTTAAGGGCCTCTACATCTGAGGAATTTAATGGTGTGGTGTTTGTTTCACTAACTGTTTTTCAGTAGGAAAGAATTACTTTCTTCTTGATTTTTTGTTTAGTGCATAGAGGATATCTTATCCTCCATAAATTGTAATTATACTTCATTGCTTAGTAAAATTTTGGGGGGAAAAAAAGAAAAAGAAAACGAACGCACTGAAAAATATGATGGTCATTGAACTTCATAATACAACCAAACAGACCAATAATCAAATGCTGGGTGGATTTCCATCAAGGTTTGTAGCAGGTGACAGGTGTTATGATAAATTGTACAGATGCAGAACTCAAGAATAAGAGCCAGGACAATGCCAAATATACGGATGCTTGAATTCGTTGTTCATCAAGATCTGCTAGTATCACAGCAATTATCTCTTCTTGACCAAATGAAGGTAGGTGACAGGTGTTATGATAAATTGTACAGATGTAAGCCTGGACAATACCAAATACACAGATACTTGAATTCATTGTTCATCAAGATCTGCTAGTATCACAGCAATTATCTCTTCTTGACCAAATGAAGGTTCCATGAGATGTCATCCATTGCTCAAATAAAGAATTTTAAGAGACGAGAAAATATTGTATTTCGAAATAGGAGTACATGCTTATTTATTGTACATCTGAGTTGACTAAATCTCTAAATAAGGAAGCAAACAAAAAAGCCAGATTCCTAAGATTAAAATACTCTACACCAGTTGAACCTTGGTTGATTACTTTTCTTATAAATACCATGTCATTCTTCTGAATTGATACGAGGAGAAATATTCAGAGTTCTCATCACCCGTCTACATTGATCTTTGGAGCCAATAAATTACAATGACATTTTGTACATTGATGTACACCATATGTAAGGGTCTCATGAACTGGGATAGTTAAGAGAAGGAAACTTACAGTGCGCTGACCAGATATAATTCTGGACACATGAATCAACTTAAGATGTTTCTCCTCTTTGCCAGAGAACCATATCAGAACAGACTCATCCTGGAAATGAAGCACAGCCAAACAAAAGATTAGTTGAGTGCATTCTCAAGCTCTCTAGAGGAAAAATGAAACTGAAACTAATACTTGGTTGGACAGGAAAAGGGAAGAAACTGGTGAATGGCTGGCTATTATAGAAATTCAATTCTCCCCGGGTTACTTATCACTCTTTCATAATTATGCACAAAATTTGTATTAACACAGAAACAGTAAATTCATGATGCAAGACAAGGAAAGATTCCACATCATCTCCAAAAATTGGATTGGAAGAAATATAAAGGTTTCCATGAGAAAACATGCTGACAATCACTTAATTGAACTCAATAAGGCCTTATCCAAACTATCTGTCTTGGATCTCCAACTACAAAGCATAATTATAGTGTTTTGGATATCTGGCACCCTTGATGCTTGGACTCTTCGAAATAGTAAGAGTACCCGTATTGGACACGACACAACATGTGCGTGGGTATGGGTAATGTGTGGAATTCTCCAAATTTCAACCGGACACTTTGTCATTTTTGCTTCTTCCTCTTTCATTTTTTCTTTTCCTTTACTTTCCCTTTTCTCATTTCTCGTTTTCGCTCTCTATCAACCTAGCGTTGCCGCCGAAAGGGTGGAGAAAGGTGGCAGCGCTAAGTTTTCCCTTCTTTTTCTTTTTATTTATTTTTTCTTTTCCTTTTCTTCATTTTTCCTTCTTTCTGTCTTGTAATGGTGATTTAGGGTTTTGTTCATATAAAATGAAAATAAATTTTATATAGTGTTACTTAGTGCTCTATTGAGTCCAAATTGCAATCAAGTCCCTCATTTTCTATTTTATATAACATTTAGTAATTCCCATAATTGAAAACTAAACTCCTGAATTCTATTTTATTCGTTTTAGCCCCTTATTCAATATCAATTTCCTTTTTTGTGAATAATTTATTTTGGCATATTCAAAATGACATCTTGAATTAGTAAAAAAAATTGAAATTTGAAAGACATACCCACGTACCTATGTCCGAAATTTGGACTTTTTTTAGCCATATTCTCGTATCCTACATTTTAAAATATAAAAGATCCGACAATCCGTACCCGATACCCGTACCCGAGCCTGAGCATCATAGTCTGGCACAATGCAGATTTACAATGGTTGTCAGCCACAATTTATTCATTAAAGTAGACACAGAAACGAATCTTGATGTCAAACCCCACAAATTTAATCATCAGCCAGTCAAATACAGCCATATGCAACAGTCAATGTCTTTCGAAAAAATATCTATAGGCCTAACAGCCCATAGTCAGAAAGCATCATAAATTAAGAAATATTCGACGTTTAAATATTGCAACATATTTCTTGAAAAATTTATTTGTAACAACTTTTATATGGCAGCGGTTTTAACCCATATAAATGTTTAATGGAATTCAGTAATATCTCCAACAAAAATGGGAGAATGTTTATCACCTGATCATAGTAAGCTTTGTGTTCTGGAATAATATCTTGCGTGTGTTACTAAATCACAAACAAGATTGAAGGAGCCAAAACATGATGCATGATAACTACCAACTACAAAGACCTATCCACAATTTGTATCTACTTCACAACACAACAGCAGATGACCTGAGCCGATAAATTTTTAAAACAAGGTGAAAAATAAAATAAAATAAAATAAAATAAAAGTAATAATAACATAATAACCATGAAAATGCACTGGGACTTACATTTGCCAACCGAAATGGACAGAACTTAGGCTTTCCTCTTCTTCCGTACTTGAGTAAGTATGCGCCTTTCTTAAGAGCAGTGATGGCCTGTTGTAAAGATCAGCCAATAACCTAAATTAAACATAACCCACAGTGTTGCCCAAAAAAAAAAAAAAAAAAAAAAAAAAAAAAAAAAAAAAAAAAAAAAAAAAAAAAAAAAAAAAAAAAAAAACACAAAGAAAGACAACATAGATAGCGCACTTCACTCGAACAGAGAAGATTGAGACAAGAAAAGAAGACGGAATAGCATACTTTCACCACAATAATTGCACGAGATTAGTGTAAGAATATAAAGGAACTTCCACTGACCCCTGCTGCTTGACTTAATATTTTATCAAAATAGTAGAACTAAGATGTGAAGCTGTAAACACAAACATTTAGAGGAATTTCAAGTAATACAACAGCAATTTCCGTGCGTACTAGAGTTGGGAGGTTTAATATCAAGTACAGTTGTTTTGAATGTTCATATTGTTTCTTTAGTTGTGGTGGCATAGCCCAACCTGAAGTTTTAGTCTAGCTGCCAGAACTATAAACTGAAACAGGAAACATGGAAATTGGGAGTAGCATGTTACACAAATAGAAACAATATGGTAAAACTATAAATCTTCTTAGCCCAAAAGCAGAAAAAATTAAGACATCAGCACAGGAAGTATTTGATAAACCTACAGCCTATATTCACGACAATTTTAGAGAAATACATGAAATTTTTAATAGGGATTCTAAAAGTTCAGAAGAAGATTTCTCGAAATTTCAAGTTCATTTGAAACATCTCTAAAACTCTAAAAGCATGTAAACTCATTTCCCACCTGCATTTCGCTAATTATTGAAAATTCACATAACAATTCCTATGATCCTTAACGAACAAAAATAAGAAGGCCTTCTTTCTTGCAGCAAAAAAGGGATCGAATAGCGCAGCACATTTCAATAGCAATATAATCGAAAAAACTCTACTGAAAATGAATTGATTTTTTAGTACTAGAATTAGTTTCGAATAAAAAAGGGACAAGAAACTACACGAAACAGTGAAAAATTAGACTTGCAACAAGCACACTCCTCAGCTTTAAGTAAACACGAGCTTCGAAACTGAAACAGATTTTTAATTGAAAAAAATTCACCTGCTCGATGTCCCTCTCGACGGACCCACCAGCTCGGCTGACATCAGAATTGCTCATCCTATCGTAGTTTCGTGACATTAACAAATGAATTCCCACTCCCACTCCCACTCCAACTTACCCAAACAAGCCGTAAATCAAAACCCCCCATTCATCAATCCAGCACCTTTCCCTTTTCCAATCAAACTGTAGTTCCAGCTAGCCGCAAAACTGTAGGAATCGCACCCCGCGCAACTATATAAAGCTTTCGGGACTACAATGAACTAGTTGAGGGGCACTTGGTTAATTGTAACAGTCGATTGACTGCTGTATGAGAGATCAGAAATAGTGAATGGGAAGAATCCAATGGATTTTGATCTTACTAATGATCTGGTTTTGCAACAAAAAGGTATAATACTATTATGCTGGTGCAGATGAGAGAAGCACGAAAATCATTATAAAGGAAAATGGTAATTTTTATTTTTATTTTTATTTTTATTTTTATTTGTTTGTGTGTGTGTAAAGAGAAGTTGAGAGGACTCAAGTAAACATTAGAAGAAAGCCATGAAAAGCCTTATCCTTCATTGACGATAGAATAATCTACTAGTGGTTGCTCGCTACGAAGTCGTCTTCGTATGACAAATGATTATTTGATGTATGAGTTAATAAAAAATTATTACATTAATATATCAAGTAATCATCTGCTATGTAGATGTCACGTCACGTAAAGTGACTGCTATATTGAGGGACTACGAATAAAATTACTCTTAATAATATGTATATTAAATTAAATGCTATTTGCACTTAAAAGTTACTTAAAAAGAAAATTACTTTTTAAAAATGTCGTTTAAGTGGTCCTGTTTGGGAGTGATTTTGAGAATTGATTTTGTGACCGTTAAGAGAAAAGTGGGGTCCACTTATGAGAGAAGAAGTCAAACTTTACGGTTAAAATAGTGAAATAACGATAAAAAAATCAATGTTTTGGGGTGAAAAATCACTCCCAAACAAACTCTAAATATTACTTGTGCTAAATAATAATTTTGTTAGCAATCCAGTGAAAAAAACTATGATGCTAAAATTCAGAAGTCATATCAATATTTGTAGATTTTCCATATCAAGACCATAGATTTTGTGTTTTCGCTCTTGTATCATCAATGCAATTATTGTTAGGCATCTCACAATTAATACGAAGGCTATTTCGCTGCTTGTACGTAAAATGGTGTGGATGGAAAAGATTAAATAAAAAAGTTGACTATATTTTAAACTAACAAATGATAGAGGACATATGATATTATGTAACTTATTATGTAAAATTTGATATACATTTAGCAATGTCATATATAAATTTTGAAAACATTGACATTATGGAGACCCTCATCTAGTAAGGCCCCAGGTGCCTATATAGCCTACAATGAAGATCGTCGCTAACATTATAATTTAGAGTATGCGATATAACAAGACATCTTGAATCATATGTAGGAGCTTAATCACATACATAACCCTTATGAATAAAACTACTTGACCAGAGCTACATGAATACTTGCCACCTAGAGGCACCACATCGTTCCTTTTATGGGGGAAGGGTCATGGAGCACCGAACATATATCAGCTATCAACCCTTGTATGCAATAAGGTTTATGAACTTGGTGAATGTTTGTCAAGATTGATAAGTAACAAAAAATTAAAAATCATATGACACGCAAGACGAAATAAGTCGCACGAAGTCTAAGGATATCACATATTACCTTCCCTAGACATGGTATGCACGTGTATTCTTGGTGACTTCATCGCACCACGCCAAATCTGAGGTTTAATTCTTATCCACAGTACTCAAATATCACTTTATTAAAGCTGTGATTTTTTCATCGATCATACTAAATTTTGATAGAATTTGTGAGATTAGAGAAGGGCATTAGAGCTGAATCAACCACCCCGTGATTCCAAGGGTCAAACTCACTTTACATAGTTTGTTTTGCAAAATTCTTTTTAAAATCCATTATCAATTTTAAGAAAAATGAAAGATTAAAACATCTCCATTTCATGTAACTTAGGAACACTATTTACCCATATTTACTCCAATAGTGAAATGCATTTCAACCATAATGAGAAAAGAGGCTTAGACTAATTAACTCTTTGAAAAATATCTCTTAAATACAATACTTTCAAAAAACCGTTTCAATCAAGAGACACATACGTACATAAAGCCCATGTTCGAGTAGTTGAAAAGGTTGATAAAAATTTAAGTCAAAAGTCAAAAATTAATTATAACCACAGATTTCTAGAGATTCACAAAATTTTATCAATTTTTATCAAAATCTACTAAAAATCATATTTTTGACTACGTCAAACACATAACAATAACGAAACACAAGTCAAAATCATTTGCTATCAAATTGTTACTTAGGATAACATTTCGAAACAAAAAGAAACATGAATAATCAGCCTACAAACCAATTAAATGGATCAAAAAGTCCAAATGACAATGACCAACACCATGAGCGAGGCACTTTTTCAAAAAGGAAAATAAAGAACCAAAAGTCAAAATCACAGCCCACTTCTTTGGTCAAGTGGTCCTACTCTTTACAATTTCAAGTGGATTTTGATGTGCTTCTAAGCAAAACCTAGCAACTATTTCCACATAAATGAATTGCAGCCTTTAAGGCCCCCCTAACAACAAATTTAGCCATTTGTGGTGCTTAAGAAATTTCCCTTTCCAATTGATACATTGAACTAGACGCAAGTTTTATTTGCACCTGCCATGTATGTGAATCCTAACTCCTAAAGATTTTCTTTAGGAACAAACTAAACTACCTAATGAGATACCACTTTTTAAGTTTTCATAAAATAAGTGGAATGTTTGAGAAAATGGGTAATTGACTTAGAATAAAACTACTAATACATAAAAAGTTACGTAATAGTTTATATATGTAGATGGGGTGTCAAAATGAGAGTGGAGAAGTTTTTTTCTTATTTAGTTGAAGAAATTTTTGTTAAATTTTAATTATGATCGTGTTAAGAATCGAGAATCACAATACAATTAATTAATAGAAACGAATTCATACCTGCGGAAGCCATTGTTGATATGAATTATAGTTGTAATAGCAATCAAGATCTTCCCCTCCTTACTCCTCACAAAAGTATTAGCTATCAATGGGGCAAACCAATAAAACATATGGAGAGGAGAGGGGACCTAGCTTTTATATATAGGAAATAATTTGAGCCGTCCCATTACGACTAGAATTCTAATTAGAGTTTATTTCCGGCCCACATATTTTAAATTACCACATCAAATTAATTACAACTCATAAGGTGTAAAATGCCCAATTGATCACTTAATAAATTTGGTCCAAACACAAATATCATTATGAGCTATATATCTAACCCGTAAAATTTTGCAATTGAATGTGAAGCCCACATATGAAATTATTAATTATTCCAACATTCTCCCACTAAATGTTTGCCATAACAAGTTTTAACACTCGGGTTAGACTACATAGGTGGCCACAAAAGTATAGCTCCAATGATGACATCTTACGTAACATGATCCGGTCCAACAAGAATATTAACACCGAACATGGAAGTCATTACATCAATTTAAGAGATGTAAGACCATTCCACAGCTACAAATGTCAACATCCTTATCGACATGGATCCCCATCCTCCAACCAATGTGGTATGAACTTAGCACCAAATGTGATCAAAAACTGTGCTAACTCATATCGGTCTTCATAATGCTTCAAATCAAAATGAAGTCACATGTCTCTAAAAGAGACTCATCTTATATTTTTATACGTCATATTTCAAGATATCAATAATATAAAAAGATATAAGTCAAATGCATGCTTAAAATAGTTCATGAATAGGGAAAAAATTATTTTATTATCAGAAAGGGGCTGTACCCGAAAACATATGGGTTGCCTACATACCTCGTAAAGGGATCAAACCCAAAACGTAGTTCTTTACATAAATAACTCCCACTAACCAAAAATATCAAATGTTTCCACAATACCCATATTAGTAACATGTGTCTTAAAGACTTTTGGAGCGAGTCCCTTAGTCAAGGGATCTGCAACCATCGCCTCTGTATTGATATGCTCTATTTTCGTCTGCCCTTCTTTGACTCTGTCTCTAACAACCAAATATTTGATGTCAATATATTTTGATCCACCAGAACTTTTATTATTCTTTGAAAAGAATACTGCTGCACTGTTATCACAGTAGATGGTGATCGGTCTTGCGATGGAATCAACAACTTTCAAGCCAGAGATGAAATTTCTTAACCAAACGGTTTGGACTGTAGCCCCATAACATGCCACAAATTCAACTTGCATAGTAGAAGATGTCACTAAAGTCTGTTTAGCACTTTTCCAAGAAATGGCACCACCGGCTAATGTAAAAATGTAACATGAGGTTGATTTCAAATTATCTTGACATCCAGCAAAATCAGAATCTGAATATCCTACCACCTCAAGATGATTTGCACGTTGGAATGTAAGCATATAACTTTCAATTTTCTTTAAATATCTCATAACTTTCTTAGCTGCTTTCCAATGCTCTTGTCCTGGATTAGACTGAAATCTGCTAATGACACTTACTGCATAGGCTATAACCGATCTAATGCAAACTTGAGCATACATCAAGCTCCCTACAGCACTAGCATATGGGATCATCTTCATAGACTCTCTTTCCAGCTCATTCCTTGGACATTGAGTTTTGTTAAACTTATCTCCTTTTATGATAGGTACATCACCAGGTACACAATTCTGCATATTAAACCTTTCTAGAACACGTCGTATATAAGCTTTCTGAGAAAGTCCCAATAAACCACGATTTCTATCACGATGTATTTCAATGCCAAGTACATAGGAAGCTTCTTCAAGATCTTTCATCTCAAAATTAGCAGACAACATTTTCTTTGTTTCATGAAGCAGCCCTAAGTTACTACTAGCAAGCAGAATGTCATCAACATACAATACAAGGAAAATAAAATTTCTCCCACTGGTTTTAAGATAAATGCATTGTTCAATAGTATTTTCGACAAAACCAAGAGATGTCACAACCTCGTCAAACTTTAAATACCACTGTCGAGATACTTGCTTGAGACCATATAAGGATTTGTTTAACTTACACTCCAAGTTTTCTTTTCCTTTTATAACAAAGCCTTCAGGTTGTTTCATATAAACCATTTCAGAAAGATCTCCATTCAAAAATGCTGTCTTAACATCCATTTGATGAAACTCCAAATTATAGTGTGCCATAAGAGCTATGATAATTCGAAAAGAATCTTTCGATGAAACAGGGGAGAAGGTGTCAACATAATCAATGCCCTCTCGTTGAGTGAAACTTTTTGCAACCAATCTTGCTTTCTTTCGTTCAACATTTCCTTTTGAATCTAATTTACTTTTGAAAATCCACTTGTTATCTATAGCCTTAGCATCTGGAGGAGGTTCAACAAGATCCCAAACTTTAGTCCTTTCCATGGAATTCATTTCATCTTCCATGGCAGCTATCCATTTATC